GAAAGGAAGAAACAGGTTAAATGAAAAGTAAACAAAACAAAATCCGGGACTCAGGTGCAAGATGGGAATTTTATGGGACGTTTTTATGTTTTCCGCGCTCGTTATCCACATCCTAAAAAACCTGAATATTAATAACAAACAGGGGATCTCCTCTTGTTTTATTTATTAATTTATTTGTCATTTATGGAATCTTGTAAGGATTATGACGTTCCCCCTCCGCCCTCTCCTCCCCCCCCCTCTCTCTCTCTCTTTCTCTCCCTCTTTCTCACATTTTTAAATTCAATGATTTACTATTGTCGTTTGTTTGTTTTCCTTTTGTTCGTTAACGTGTAAATTTTTTCCACGTTGATTCCTTATTACGGCTCTGCTTTTTCACACCATCAATAATAATAATAATAATGATGTTAAAGGGGTTTGTTTTCACAGCCCCAACACATACGTTCGATCAATTTCACGGATTAATTTAATCGTTAATAGATTTAATAACAATTAATCGTTTTTCCATTTTTTTTTTTTTTTAATTTAACGTATCCGTCGACACGGTTGCCAACTTTACAACTCGCGTTTTTCCACAGATTAAATAAAATTAATTACGTAATTAACATATTGTCGATATTCGTACAAATCGTTTTCGTTTTCCTTTTTTTTTTATAAACAAATGTTACAAAAATTTAAACAAAATTAATAACAATAAAAACTAGAAAAGTAATAATAATAATAATAATAATAATAATAATAATAATAATAAATATCATAAAAGGTAAAACATAAAAAAAAAAAAATAACATAAAATAAAATGAGTACGAGTAAAAAAGAAAGAAAAAATTTTTTTTTTTTTTTTTTTTTTTTTATTTTACGATCTAATTTTAAATCAATGAATCATTACATTAATATTTTAATAATATTTCCCCTTTCATGTTTTTTTTTTTTTATTTTTATTACTACCTTATACAGGTACATAACATAATTTTGTCGAGAGAATAAAAAAAAAAAAAACTTTTCTCGACAATTTTTTTTTTTTTTAATATTTTACGACTTTAAATTATTAGCTAAGAAGCAAAGTCACAGGTGACGGTTGTTGAAAATAAAATAAATGAACGCGCCCGCAAAAAACATAAAAACATAAAAAAAAATTTTTTTTGCTAAAATAAAATGGCTACCCGAATAAAATTTTGCTCCCATTAATAAATAAGAAATGATAAATAATTATTTAATTTTTCGTCACGTGGGCACATAAATAAAAAAAATTTTTTTTTTTTTTTGTTTAACCCACATCATCCGTTGTTACTAATCGGTTATTTAAACGCAATTTATTTAAATAAACAAACGAATTATTATTATTATTATTATTATTATTATTAAATGAATTAATAAATTATTATGGAGGCGGGTTTATTATTATTAAAAATATTTAATAAAAAACGTTTTTTAAATAATTTTTTATTAGTAGTAGTAGTCAATCAATGATAAATTAATCGAGTTATTTATTTATTTGATTAATCGGAGATTAATATAGTTATTAACAATGAATTAATTATTATTATTTGTTTGTTTATTACGTTTTTTTCCCCTTTGTTAACAAATAATAATAATAATAATAATAATAATAATAATAATAATAATAATAATAATAATTTATTTATTTTTATGTATGTAAGGAAAATGATAATTATTTTTTAAAAAATATTCGTAGAAAGTTTTGTTTTGTTTTTTTTTTTTTTTTTTGTGGGGAGGGGGTAAAAACTAATTTTGAATTTATTAAATTTATTATGATAAAGTTATTTATTATCATTATTAATATAAGTGGTGGTGGTGGTGGCGGTGGTTTTTCCATAGTTGGTTAGTTAAGAAAAATTTGATGAAAGTTTTATAAAAAAAAATTTCACAACCGCAATAAACCTAATGGAAATTGCCGTATCACGTGATAGAACTGGAGAAAAAAAAGGAAAATGACACGCCCACTTTTAATATCAGCCAATGTTATTTATTTATTTAAAAAAACCCCCCAACAAGTTCCTCCTTAAAATATTTCTTATGTTAAGCTTATTAACGAGTTATTTTCTTATTAAAAAAAAAAAAAAAAAAACAATTTCAAAATTTTTTTTTTACATTATTATTATTATTATTATTATCTCATTGATACCATTATTGTTTAGAACCGTATTAAGGATTTTTTTTGTTTTTCACCTTAAAAGGGTTAACCTTTCGAAATAGTATTTCTATTTGATTTTTCTAATGTTTAAATTGTTTGTTTCCGCTATCGTATTTGTTTTATTTTAAATTTAATAACTTATGTATTTAATGGTGTGCTGGAAAAAATAGGAAAAAAAATCTTTCATTTTGTTTTTCTTTAAACGATAATAATAATAGTGTGAAAAATTATGTTACTAAAACTGGTTAATGTTATGCATTTTATTTCTTAATTTTTTTTTTCATTTGTAAATAAATTGAATGAAATAGATTCTATACCCTACCAATAATCTCAAAAAAAAAAAAAATAATAATAATAATAATATTTTTAATTATAAATGAACTCCATAGTCCGACAGCAAATCGCCACTGCCTGCGTGATTTTACTGGAAAACTGGACTCAAATTTTTAATTACATTTAATATGAAAAAAAATTTTTATTTTAAAAAAATGAATTTTGATATTCGATTTTATAAACACGTTCTATTCTTTTTAAAAAACGCGGTGAGGAAATAATTTTTTTCGATGTATTGACTCGTAGTTTCACGTTTAGCTTATGTGTGAATGGTATAAATAATGGTATGAATAATGGTATAAACAGTAAAATATAAGAAAAACTAATAAAACGATAGTTATCATAACGAAAACGTTTCAACTAAAGTTTATTTTAACGAATCGATTCAGACTCGTAAATAGAATAGTGAGTTCGTATGAAACATAATGCATTCCGTGTTTTTTATAAATTTTAAAGGAAAAGTTATTGAAAATATCCAATCACGTAAAACGGTATGATATTTTAATGCTAAACATAAGGCAAAGGACATTCAAAGGAAATTTTCCTGGATTTTAAAGTTTTTTTGTTGGGCTCAGCGGACGGTTGCCAGTCCTGCTGCGTTTCTCGAGTTAAATGGTTGATACTGACTGCGTTTCGAGTGCGTTACTCGGCGGGTTTCCTCGGCCTTTTTTTTTTTTTTTTTCGAATCGGTTTTCCCTTTTGTAGCCTCAACAACAGTGTCGGCTGCTTTTTGTCGAAAAACGAGGACGGGGAGCGCTAACAATCCTAATGCGATCCCGCTGTGATTTTTTCGTCCATTCGCGTCTTCTGCTGTGACCGTACGAATAATATTTACTTTTCTTTAATTTTTTTTTTTTTTAATCCGGTAAAAAAATGAACCGTTTAAGTGTATTGTGGTTAAGATTACAGTGAAGGAAAAAAAAAAAAAGGTGCCTAATTTTTTAATAGTTTTACGCATAATTTTTGTTTTTTTTTTGGGGGTCGCTTTTAATCATTGGAATTATATTATTAGTTTTGGGCAAAAGCCCATAAATTATCTAACGAATATTATTTTTTTCAACACGAGTTGATTGTTATACTTTTCAACAGAAGAAAAACAAAGAAAAACATAAACACGCCCATTTTGTGTGTTACACCTTTTTGGACAAATTATCTAAATCGCTAAATTAAATTTTAAATTATTTACTCGCCCCCACCGAAATCATTCGTATGTTTTTGTTTTAGAAGGCCTCCTTCTCCCCGAAAAATACGAAAGGGAAAAGAAAAAAACAAAAAATTACTCATTTTGTTCCCTAAGGCTAGATAATGGCGGACATTTTTTATTAAAATCCCATAAAAAAATTCAAATCAAGATTTTCAGGTTTTTTTGCAAAACGCATTTTATTAATAATAATAATAATAATAATAATAATAATAATAATAATAATAATAATAATAATAATAATAATGAAAAATTTCATACATGAGTCAATAAAATCGATAATGATCGCCTTAATAATAATAATAATTTAATACTTTATGTAATTTTATCAATTGTTTTATGCAATATTATTATTAATAATAAAACGTTTAATAAATGAATAAAAATTAAAGCATACATTATTTATTTATTTATTTTTTTATTAAATAATGTATGTTTACATAAATTTTTATGTAATAATAATGATAATAACGTTAAGTACGTGATAAAAATCGTTCGTGATAAAGTCTATTGTACATCCGTACCTATTTAAACCTATTAATATTTTTTTTCGTGGGGGGGGAGGGAGGAGAAGGATGAGAGGAATAAATATAAAAAAGTAAAATAGGATTTTCGAACAACAAAAAAAAAAAAAAAAAAAAAAAATTGGAAAATTTTTAAAAAAAATGTAAACGTAGAAAATTTTCCGACGGTAAAAATTTGTTTATTGTTCGACACAAAAAAAAAGAAAAATTTCTACGTTGATTTTTATTTTTTATTTTAAATGGAATTATTATGTAATGACGTCATTTATGTACACACATAAAAGGGAAAATTATAGTATTATTATTATTATTATTATTGTAAAGTTTTTTTATTCGAACACCGACGGTTAACCAAAAAAAAAAAGAAAGAAAGAAAAAAAAATCTTTTGATCATTTATGTATTTTTTATTTATTTAAATTTATGTATTTGGTATATTTATTGGTTGTTAGCATTATGTATGCATTTTTTCGGGGGGAGGAGAGGGGAGGGGAAGGTACTTATTAATTATTAATAATTTTTTGTTTTTGTTTTCATTTTAGGGGCCGGCCATCAAAATCAAATTGGAATCAAATGTTTAATTGAATTATTTTTGTGGTGGTTGTTGATTGTTGTTGTTGTTCGGTTGTTTCCGTTCGTCGGTTTCACAATAAAAAGAAAATTCGCGAATAATAATAATAATGATTGATCGTGAATGAAAAACAAAAAGAAGAAGAGAAAAAAAAAGTGACTGAAGTTTTTTTTTTTTAAACAAAAGAAAATTTTTTTTTTTTCCTTTTATTTTGGACAAAAATGCTAAACGCGTTCATGGATTCGTCGACGTTGACGAGTCATCATCATCATCATCATCACATGGCGAGTTTGGGTATAAAAATGTCACCGCCGCCGCCGCCGCCGCCACCCAACGGTATGTCAACGACGCCGCAACCGAACCTTACGCCGAATAACACGGACCAAAACATGAACGGATTCAACAACGGATACCATCACAACATGGGAATGACCATGGGTCATTTGAATCCACATCCCGGTTACGCAGCCAGAGATTTTCTTCTCCGGAGGGAACATCACGAGTTCAGTACGCCAACGGGTACGAGTTTAAACACGAGTCCGGATCCGATGTTGTTTCCGTCGTCCTTACACGATCAAAACGTATCGTTAAATCATAATTTAAATCATCATCATCACCATCACCATCATCCTCATCTCGGTCATCATCACACGAACATGAGAATAAACATGGACGTTTATGCTCATAGAGAGCACCACGGCTACCCTAATCAGTTTATGACCCATCATCATCACATGGGTGGAATATCTCCCCATCAACATCATCCCACTCATCACGGTGCCTTTTTCCGTTACATGAGACAACCGGTCAAACAAGAGATGACGTGTTTGTGGATAGAACCGGAGCAACCGCATCCGAAAAAAATTTGCGGTAAAAACTTTACGACGATGCACGAAATAGTGACGCATTTGACGGTTGAACACGTCGGAGGACCCGAATGCACGACGCATGCATGCTTCTGGCAATCGTGTCCGAGGAACGGTAGACCTTTCAAAGCAAAATACAAATTAGTTAATCACATAAGAGTGCACACGGGAGAAAAACCATTTCCATGTCCGTTTCCGGGTTGCGGAAAAGTATTCGCCAGAAGTGAAAATCTTAAAATTCACAAGAGGACGCACACCGGTAAGTTTTCCAACTTGATTTTTCTTCTTTTTCTTTTTTTTTTTTTTCAATAAGGAAAAACCTCGGGTAGGAGGGTGTCGGAGGGAAGGTAGTGTCGGTCGAAAGGTCAAAGGGAAGGTGGGAGGAAAAGGGACGAAGGGAGGGGGGAAAGAAAAGATTTTCCAAAAAATTAAATGACTCAAAACTCCGTGAGAGAAATGAAAAAGTTTCACTCCCCAAATATTTTCTTTCTTCTTCTTCTTCTTCTGTCTTTTTCTTTAAAAAAAATTTATTTTTAATAAATAAATAAATAAATGAAATTTCTTTTTATTTATTTATTTATTTAATTTTTAATAAAAAAAAAATTTTATTCTGTCATTTACATAAAATTAAAATAAATAAATAAGTAAATGAAACTTTTCCAACCGTGTAATGAAATTTTAATTAGTTTATCATCATCATCATCATCATCATCATTATTATTATTTCAAATCGATTACGTAATATATAAATATAGGTATATTATCGATCGTAAAAATTTATTTATTTATTTATTTTAATAAATTATATTAAAATTATATTTTTAACGGTTAAAACGTTCGCATTAACGATTGTTTTCTTTTTTTGCAACTTTTTTTATATTTATATTTCATCTCGTGCGTGTGTGCGTGTGCGTGCGCGTGCGCGAACGAATGGAAAATATATAAATATATATAATTTTTCTTTACCATTGTTTTTCTTTGGCATGTGATTTACAATATGGCCCCGTTTTTTTTTTTTTTTGTTGTTGTTTTGATTGTTTGCTCTTTCACCGAGCCCCACATCGTAAATTTTTTCTCCTTCTTCTTCTTCTTCTTCTTTTTTTTCACCTTTTCTTTCTTTTTTTCTTTCTTTTTTTCTTTCTTTTTTCTTTTTTCATACAATTTTTGACAATGTTTTGATATTTCTTTACTGACGTTGTTGTTGGTGTGGTGTGTATTGGAAAAAAAAAATTGTCGAGTGATTTATTACAATATGGAGTGTAACAAACAAACAAACAAACAAAAAAATAAACAATTCGATTGTTTTTGGCATTTTTTGTTTTGTCTTCTTCTTCGTCTTGTCGTCCATTTTTGTTTTTTTCTTCTTCTTTTCACTCATTATGAGTTTGTTTGTTATTGACTACCCACGTCCATATTGTGAATAATTATTTTTAATTGTCGTTTTTAATAAAAAATTTTTTTTTGGCAAATGAATTCTTAAACTCTCTCTCTCTCTCTCTCTCTCACTCACTCACTCTTTCCCCCCTTTTATCTCATTTCGGCCGATAATGTTTTATTAATGGTAAATAATTTTTTTTTATTTAAATTTTTTTTTTTTTTTTTTTTATGGATTTATATTCATAAACCATAATCCCCGTCATAACATGAACCCCCCACCTCCACTCTCACCCCCATTTCATCGCCACAACCCCCCAAACCCCCTCAACCCCGAAAAATTATTTTTTCAATATATTTACGAACCTTTTTTACATGGATGTTATTTTTTTTTTTATTATTATTATCGAAGCCTATGTAAATTATTAATCGTTTCTCTCTCTTTTTCTCTCTCTCTCTCTTTCTCTCTCTCTCTCTCCCTTTATTTGTCTTTTTCACATGACATAAATGAATTTTTTTTTTTTTATGTATAGTTAAAAAAATGGGAGTATTGATTGTCATAAACAGATTTTTTTTTTGGGGAGGGGGTTAAAATTTATATATAAAATAACGCGAAAGAAAAAATAATAATAATAATAATAATAATAATAATAATAATAATAATAATAATAATAATTTTTTAAATTTATTTATTTAAAAAATTTTTTCATGCAATAAATGTCGCAATAAATAGAGAAAAAAAAATTTAATTTTTTATTTTAAAAAAAAAGTTTTAATTTACATTCGTGTAGGAAAAAAAAAAAAAACATTAAGAATTGTTTGGGAAACAAACACACAAACAAACAAACACAACAAACGAAGGGAAGAGATGGGAAGGAAAGGCGGGGGGGAAATGTGAACGAGTAAAGATTTTTTTTTTATGTCGAGCGTGTTGATAGAAAACATACGAAATAAAAAAAAAACATCCCTTAAAAAATATCGGAAAGATATTTTATAAAGAGGGGTTAAAAAAAGACCAACCAACCCTTGTGTTAGATAATTACCATGGTTGAGAACCAATGAGAAAGCACCGACACATCACCCTCCATAGCCTATAAATTCTATTGTACGAATATTTATTTATATTTATATATTTTGTGTGTGTGTGTGTGTGCGCGCGTGTGTTTAGAGAAATTTAATTCTTTTTCACGCAAATTTTTATTCATTTGACCTCATGTTAGTACTCCGAAAAAAACTAGGCACGTTCAGGTTTTTTACTTCTCTACACTGAATCCTATTAATTTACTTTTATACAGACGAGAAACATAAATAATAATAATAAAACCTTAAATCAACCTTTGGATATTTGATTACGTTTATGTTTAAAACGAAATTTCTGAACGCGCACACAACAAAATTTTCCAGGTTAAAATCCATTAAATGATTTTTTTTTTTTTTTACTCTATGGATTTTGAATATTTATTATTATTATTATTATTAATTAAATGAGATGTTTTGAAAAATTAACGAATAATTTTACTAGAGTGAAAATTTTTGGCTTACGCACTTGCGTAAAAGTACGCACAAACGTAACAAACGTTTTCTATCTTTCTCTCTCTCTCTCTCGCACGCACACAGTTTTAATAATTTATTTTTATATTTTTTAATGTGAAAAATAATTTTTTTTTTTTCTTTTTTTTTTTGATTGATGGCATCCATTTTGAAAATTTTTTTCGCTCGGTTCATCAGTTGCCAGATTTTTATCAAGCTTTTATCAAGTTTGATCGTTAGATAATTTTAGTTTTTAATAACCAAAAAATTTTTGGCACAAATTTTTTTTTTTTTTAATTTAAAAACAAAAAAATTAATTTAAATCCGTTGAATTTATTTATTATTATTATTTTGTTTAAAGCGTTATTTGTGTTTTGAATTTTTCTACCGACTAATTCCACGACGCCGTGGAGGGAGAGTGGTGGCGTCGTCATGGCGCTTCATCCCGTCTCATACTACCCCCCCTCATGGCGCTTTCCTTTAGAAAAAGAGTAGTAATAACGGATTATCAAAGTTTTTTTTTTCTTTTTTTTTTTTTTTTTCATTTATTAAAATTAAAACAAAATCATTACTATTCGCCACCATTTATTCTTTCCATTATTATTATTATTATTATTATTATTATTACAACAGTTGGGAAATCAATAATATGACACAAAATCGATTCATTATAAACAAAAATGAAATTTTTTATCGTACGAATTCAATTATTTATATTAATAATAATAATAATAATATAAAAAATCAATAACGTTTGAAATAATAATAATAATAATAATAACAAACATTTAAAATATATATATAAATGAACTCTCACGTATTAAAAAAAAAAAAAAAGAAAAATGGCTTCTCATAGGCTAGATAAAAACGAGTTTTTTTATTCGTTATTCGAATACGAATAAACGAGTTGAAAAAAAAAAAAATTGAATAATTTTAGGTGAGAAGGTTCTAATTAGATATTTTAAACGGATAAAAAAAAACTATTCTCTCTCTCTCTCTCTCACACGCACGCACACGCACACGCACACACACTTTTACACACACATACGAGCGCGCGCGTATACTCTATGATGTACTACGTACGAGTACGTATTTTTTTTATTTTTTTTGGTATACCCTGTGTGTGTGTGTGTGAGTGCGATTCGTGCATTTTTGCTGGGGGGGGGGGAGAAAAATATGAAAATTATAAATTATAGAACGCGTAATTTAACATTATGTACGTGACTATCATCAATTTATTTTAACTATTAGAATTCACGCTTAAATTATTATTATTATTATCATTATAAAATTATCGTTTATTTTTTCAAATGGGGTTATTGTTAATTTGCACGCCCCCCCCCCCGTACTTAATGAGAGTTTGCATGTTTGTTTTATAAAAATAGTAAAAAAAAATTCGAAACCGACGGTCGAATTCGGTCAAATATGACCGAAATTAATCAAAAAGAAAATCCAATTGAAAATAATAATAATGATTTTGGTAATAATAATAATAATAATAAAATGTTTTTTTCTTGTATAAATGGAAGAAATAAAATGCAAATTACGTACACACACACACACACACACACACACACACATAATTTTAATAATAATAATATAAAATAAATCTTTTTCGTTTAATCGTAATTTGAATACAATTATAATTTATTTAATATAATTACAACTATCATCTAACGATAAAAATTTTTGTGGAAAAAAAGAAAATTTTTTTTTTTACGGAATCGTTAATAGACGTATAATTTGATAGTTTAGCTTACGAGTATGAGTGTCATTTTATAAAAAAAAATTTTGCCAACCACAAAACTCCATCTTGAATTGTCGTTAAATTTTAATTTTTGTTTCTCACACGCAACCAACATTAGAAAAACAAAAAGGAAAAAAAAAGTAAAAAGTAAATAATCGAATGTCCGCCATTTTGTGTTGCATTTTCCCGTTTCGAAAATCCGGATTTTTGGAGAGTTGGAAAATTTTCATAAAAAATAATTTTTACTAAATTAATCGAATTTATTGCGTAGGAATTTATTAAGAATAATTTATCGTTTAATTACGAATAACAAATTGAATAAAATTTAAAATAAATAAAATGATAATGATGATGATGATGATGTTTTTATTTATTTATTTACGCGTTTCGATTAAAATCTAAAATTTAAATTGAATATAATAATAGTGTACTCGATACGGTCCTGATAAAAGAGCGTTAAAAAGGTAATTTTTACAATAAAGATACGTTTGCTAACGAGAAAACGAACGAAAGAGCCGGAGGGTTTTCTCTCTCTCTCACTCTTTTGTAACCTTTTTTCACAGTAGCAAAAACCGGTAAATAATTTTCTTTTTAAGGTATATATATAT